CTTGTGGTTAGTGGTCAAATGCCTTAGGCACTACGCCACCACAGTAAGCTAGGAGGTGCTACTTTCCAATCTTAAGAAAAGTTTGGATTTTTATTTCTATTAATTTTTATATAACTTTTATACAAATTTATTATATAACTTACTAATACTAATAGTCAATTACCAATATATGTGTAACAGAGACAAAAATAGCAACCCTAAAATGAAAGACCAAAAGAGAATATACCATCTCTGTACTTATTGACATGGTTAGGTTCCAAAGACCAGGCCATTATATGAAACTCCGTGTTATTGAAAATATAGGATGACCACATTAGATCAGCAAATGGAGAATGACTGTATTACGTAACTGCCAAGTTACATCATCACATAACTGCCTAATCGCTGAGAAGCATGGCCCAGCCAAGTTGCCACATAACCCTGGCAGCAAGTGTTATTCTCACCTAGCACCTCAGCATATGTCACTAAAGTGAAAAATAGTTGGGTATATTTCTTTACTATTGTAATAAATTCTAAGTGTCAGATAACGAGAGAGTTGATAAGTGAGGACAGGGTATAGTTACAATGCCATTGGACATACAATGCGGTTGGACAAAGGGTTAACATTTAAAAAGCTCCTAGAAATTGACAGGAAAAGAAAATTCTAACATCAATACATCTAAAAGATATGACTAGGTAATTGACAAAAGAAGAAATACAAATGGCTCATAAATATGAAAATAAATTTGCCTCATAATAAGATACAAACAATAAGGAGGGATCATTTTTTACCTATCATCCTGGCAAAAAATAAAGAGATTGATAACTTCTACTCCTGGAGCTCTGGTAGCATAGTGCCTAAGGCACTTGACAGCTAATCAGAAGGCTGGTGGTTCAAACTCACCAGCCAGTCCTCAGAAGGAAGGTTGGGCAATCTACTTCTGTAGTGATACTGCCTTGGAAACCCAAGGAGGGGTCGCTATGAGTTGGGTCCAACTCAACAGCACATAATAAAAACAACACTCCTGGAGGATTTGGGAAACATTGTTGGTAGGGATGCTACTTGCTATAACCTTTGGGGAATATAATGTGATACTACCTATGAGTATTAAAAATAAGCATACTTGCTTGAATAATTTCTTCCCTATCCTTTTTGCAGTACTATTTGACCCAGCGGTCCTACTTTGGGGAATAATCCAGAAGAGTAAAAGAACCAGTGTATAAGGCTATGTGGACATGCTGGGCAGAGGTGGGGGATGGGGAAAGGGGACACTGGAAAACACCCGAACATCCATCATCAATACACTCACTGCCATCAAGTCGATCTGACTCATAGTGACCCCCATGGGTTTCCAAGGCTGTAAATCTTTATGGAAGTAGACTGCCTTATCTTTCTCCTACAGAGGGGATGATGGGTTTGAGCTATGAACCTTTTGGTTAGCAGCCAAATGCCTTAACCACTATACCACCAGAGCTCCTTTCCATCATCAATAAAACTCACTAAACCAAACTCACTGTCGTGGAGTGGATTCCAACTCATAGCGACCCCTCCTTGGGTTTCCAAGGTGGTATCTCTACTGCATTAGATTGCCTAGTCTTGCTTCCGAGGAGTGGCTGGTGG